GTCCTAGGTAGAATGTGTTATTATGTGCTATAATGTGTTAGAGTTGATGAGGAGGATGAGGAGTTGTGATTATGACTAGTGACCAACTTGTTATATATATGATGTCTCATTGACGAACATTGTTTGGTGGTGATGACTACTGGTAATGAATATGCTATTTAAACAGACTAGTTCATGATGAGTTGTTATTGTATAAAAGATATATCTGTTTAAACATGTACAGCGCCAAAATATTAAGAAAACATAAATATTAGCAGTAGCGCTGGCCTAAAAACGTGCTACTATTAGTTGAACTTACCATTAGCGCTGGTCTAGAAACGCGCTATTGCTACAAAATAGCTTTAGCGCCGTAGCGGTAGCGCTGGTCCCTGCGCTACTGGTAGCACAAAAACAAGCGCTACTGGTAAGCTTTTTCTCTAGTAGTGCTTCAATATTAATCAAGCAGGAAGTAGGGTTTTACCTCCATCGAGAGGGCCCGAACCTGGGTAAACGTTGTGTCCCTCGCTTCCTGCTACCATCATCCTAAGACGCACAGATCGGGACCCCCTACCCGAGATCCGCCGGTTTTGACACCGACAAAAGGTCCCCCCCCCCTTTAGTCCCGGTTCAGCACGAACCGACACTAAAGGGCCACCACGTGGCACGAGGCGCGTCGTGGTCCGGGGGACCTTTAGTCCCGGTTGGTAAGGATGTTTTTTTTATTTCTTTTGAAATAAAAGAAAAACAGACCACCTACTGGGCCGGCACGGCCTGCATATGACTAGAAATCCAACCTCTAGTTGGGCCAGGATGCAGGCCCGTACGGCCTGTAGGGCCCATAGGGCACAAGACTTGCAATAGGCCCACAAAGGCCTGCTTAGAGAGGAGCTCGACACGGTAGCCGCGGCGGGGCTTATAAACCGGTGCGAGCTCCTCTCAACTAGCAAGGTGGGACTAAACATTATGCACTGCGGGTGGCAGCGCACCCCTTTAGTACCAATTGGTGGCACGAACGCGGGTGGCAGTGCACCCCTTTAGTACCGGTTGGTGGCATGAACCCGTACTAAAGGGGGGGGGTTTAGTACCGGTTGGAGCCACCAACCCATACTAAAGGCCACCACCTCTTTAGTACCGGTTCGTGGCACGAACCAGTACTAAAGGTTCACCATGAACCGGTACTAATGAGCGCCACCCGCCTAGCCGTTGGAACCGGCACTAATGGTCACATTAGTGCCGGTTCAATTACAAACCAGGACTAATGAGCTTCACATTAGGCCCTTTTTCTACTAGTGTGATATGTGGATCATTGGGATGCAATAGCATGCATGTTAGTCTCCTTTGTATTTGATGGAATGTTGCAACGGGGAAACGTTGGATGCAAGATACATGAAACAGAAGCTTAAAGCTTTGTAGTATTGTACAATTTTATATCACTGAGAAATTACAGTATTGTGTACTAAAGAGTTATGTGTCACACGGTGTCCCCAAAAATATGGTGATAGGGTTAGGTGGGCCATGTAATCACTAAGCTACCATGTTTTCCCTGCTTTCGCACTCTACCTCCTTTCGCTGAAACGTGGGACATCCAGTATCCCATGCATGTGTCGTGCACCAAAGTAAAGTGTACAGTACAACTGAGACTCAGCACCATCATACCACCTCAATAATAATGACTAATGAGCCATCAAATAACATAGACCCGACAGTAAGTTGGATGGATGAATCAACCATCACTCTTCGGCGCTTCTCCCTTCAACACATGCGCTAGTGAGAGGTCGCGTCCACTGTTCCCGAGCATGAATGTGGCACCAAATCTCTGGCGTGGAGCCGACCGTTTTGGGTGGGAAGCGTGCATAGGCAATGGAGGGGCCTTGGGTGGGCCAGGGTGGTCAGGAGCGGGCGTGGCAGCTGACCGTTTGACTAATTTTGTAAACTACGGGGGTGACTACATTTCTCCACATCATCTGCCTCGGTTGATGAGATTTCAAATTTAAGCCCCATAAACCGGAAAGGAGGGAGTAGTTAAAAATTTTGGTCAAACTTTGATAAAAAAAATATGACGTGGCATAAAAACGTGGACGGAGGTAGTAGTACGAGATACGGTGGCACACTGACTTTGGCAGAATAAAATTATTGGAAGAGAGCAAAGTGTACATACAAAGTAATTAAAATTGAATTTCACGAAAATATTTAAAATTGGAGGATGGTGCAGCCAACCATTTTGATATTTTGACCGTGTGTGGTCCAGTTGTTGTTCACTTCGGAGGGTTGTGTACCACACGTGAACGATAGTAAGTGCGACCGGGAGGCGTGCAGCATTAATTGCGAGTTGACTCCTTCGAGCGTTAAATTTTCATCACGTATTAGCATTGCCCTACTATTTTTCTTCACTACATTGAATAAAGAGTTTTGTTTCGTGCACAATGTAAAACGATTTTTATGGAGAGAAAAATAAAACCACTCCAACTATATACGCTGCAGCCTTGACCCTTGTTTTCTAGGGTTTGCTCTCTTCACACTCTCTCTCTCCACTATATATATATAACGCTGGAGCCTCAGCGCTTGTAGTTTCTCTCTTCACACTCTCTCACCCTCTCCAGATCTAAACAAGATCGTGTTGGCCTCTTGGCTCTCTCTCCCCCGTCACTGCTGGTCAAAGAGCCGGCAAGATCCCGTCCGGCGGGGAAGGGAAGGAGGCTTAATGTTGTTGTAGTCGATGAGGGAGGGAATCCACTACCAGCGCCATTGTTCTCTTTCACCCAGTGGCGGCGCGGGAGGTCCTCCGACCCCTTCTTCCTCACTATCGTACATAGTATGGGAAGATCAGCCTCGAATCGTCTACTGAGCCACACCCCGAGAACCTTATGGTATAAGTTACTTAATCCACATGCATTGCTATAACTGCTTGTGGATTTTTTTTTCGCTTCTACACTCGAATCTAGGTCTTGGATCAAACAGGAAAGTAGTGGGGAAAGTTGTATAGCATGAATCTAGCACGTGGTTCAAAGAGGAAAGGAAGGGGAAAGTAGTACATTTGAATGATATATCAAAAGAAGTGTACCTATGAAATTAAATCGAACGAACAAATTTTGTATACAATGGATATTTTATTTCCTTGTTGTCATAGCAAGGCAGTTGCCCCGGCCTCTCTCCCTCGAAGCGCTCCCCCGACCTCTATCCCCCGACGCGGCGGCGGCGCGCCGCCCCCGGGGAGTCCCCGTCCATACCGCCCTCATCCCTTCCCCTCCATCGCCTCCCACTACCGCCGTCGTCGCTGAGGAGGGTGCAGGGTGAAGCCCCTGTGGTGAGGCGGCGGCGGCGGCGCAGTCCACGGCCGGTGGTAACGCGTGGGGCTAGGCAGCGGCATCCATCTCCCTCCTCCTCCAATGGCAGTGCGCAGTGGGTTGGCGGTGGCTAGAAGATCTCCGGCGGCCTTTGGCGGATGAGATTTTGGCTGCGATGATATCTGATCTAGGCCAGAGGGTTTAGATCGAGATCCACTGTGGCTGCGCCTCATCTCGACAACGGCAAGAGGAGATCCCCCCGGGTAATCTTCGTGGCACGAGGACGTCCGGGTCTCTTGTCTCGGGCATGGTAGCGGTGGCAGCCTTCTCCACCGAAGGCGGTTGGCCAGGCTGGTAGTGACGGATCTTGGATCCCACTATTAGCACCGGCGGCGAGTTGGGGAGACATAGTCGCCGGTGAAAACCGAGCCGACTCCGGTCATGGTGGGCGATGGCGGCGTCTAAGTTGTTACCTTGATGAAGGCATCGTCAAGCAACTATCGTCAACCTGCTCGTGCCGCTCCGGGAGAAATCCTAAGATCACCGGATCGGACGATGGCGGCGCTGTGGTGTCGTGCTCCCTCTTGGGGGCATAGTTTGTGGAGCGGCGCCGAATGGAAGAGGCGTGAGGTGGTGTGGCGTGCCTTCTCTCGCGTCGATGACGGCGGGTCTCAGCGGCATGGAGCAGCGGGGTCTCAGCGCTGGACGTGGCGTGATGGCCTTGCGCAGGACGGTGGCGATGTATGGCGCCATGGTGGCGTCGACAGCTGACCTGGCAAGGTCTTTGCGTCAGTACCTGCTCTGAAGATGGTTAGGTGGATGACGGCGGCGGTAGCCTCGGTGAGTGCATCGGACCGGTGTGTGACCCATTCTCGACATGTGGCTGGGATGGGGCATCCGGCATTAAATGTTAAGTTTTGGTGTGATGTTTGTTTGGTATTAGGCTTGGACATTCGGCACCCCTGCATCAAGGGGGTGGGAGTAGCGACACGTGTCGCCTAGATGGTGGCTTCAGGCTTACTGATGTAATTCTTTGTAAGGTCTCTGAGAATAATTAATAAAATGGTTGCATGCATCGCCCAGATGCAAAGGCCGGGGGTAATCCTCCTTTTCTAAAAATAAAAAATAAAAGAATAGCAAGGCAGTTCATTCGAATACAAATGTACACAAGTGAAAACATGAATTTTCCTTATACAAACTAACTTCAATACCAGATTCATAGATTGGCGGGTTTTTTAATGGGAAATGGTTGATGGTCACATACATGTGAAACTAATAATACTAAATTTAGTGCACTTGAAAATCTTAAGCAATATACTTATATTGGCTGTCCGTAGAAACATCCGGATTCTGAATAATGTAATTTAATTAGACTCTATGGTGAGAAGGCACTTGAAAAGAAACATTTGGATCTGGAATGATGTAATTTAACGGTGTGGTAAGAAGTCTGGTTTTGTTAGAAAAGGAGGTTGAAACCTTTGCCCTATTCATCATTGTGATACAAACAGCCATTTTTTATTAAAGTTGATGCATGACAACGAGGTCAAAGTCATCAACAAATAGAGTATGTAACATGCACAACTATGGCATAACTATTACAGGATATGAATTTAAGAGCCAGACTTCTTTCGCAACATCTTTAAGAAGGGAAACACGCCCTCAAGCCATCGTCATGTCCGTCTGAATCATAACATGGTTGAGAAGTCTGACAGGCGTAGGTTCCATTTGATATCTGCATCAGTTCATTTGATCGTCCTTGGGTCTAAGTCGAATGTGATAGCCCTGCGGGAACATAACATCCGCGCTTCGGAATTCGTCAGTTCCTTTCATTTCTTCCCATCTGCAAAGGAAGTTAAAATTACATATTGTATATCAACAAGCAGTGTGCATGGTGCAATGAAAGCAACAATCTTTCGGGTGCGAAAAGCACACACCTATACTCCGTCACCAAAATATGGAGGGTAAGTGTTACAAACAGCTTCACAAAATCTGCCGCAGGACAAACCCTGATTCCTGCCCCAAATGGCAAGAAATTCTTCAGCATTGCACTGCGCTTTGACTCATCCTGTGTTTCAGATTCGTCATTTTTTTTATACACACAATACTATATTAGTTCCAACAGAATCTTTCAGGTAGAAAAATGGGAATAGAAATTGAAAGAATACAGCCATTTCAATGTCTTCACTAACCATCCACCTCCATGGGTTAAATTTGAGTGGATCTTCGAACAATTCTTCATTCAAATGAACTGCCATGGGGTTGACTATGACCTGCCATCCGGCTGGAATTGTATAGCCTGCAGGAAGAACGAATCAACACATTGCTAATTGTTATATAACTCTACTGCTTTGTTAGCTAACCAAACAGATTACTATAGTTACAATAATGTTTCTGAGTGTTCACCGTTGACTTGTACATCCGTGAGAGTTTTCCTGAATACTCCAACTACGGCATTGCTTATTCGAATAATCTCATTGGTCACCTTCAGTCGAAAAGGAAAATCTTGTCAGAATAGAAACCTGTACCAGTGAAGAGTCCAGTTGTCATGCGTGCAGACTTAAACCTGAACTGAGGGACTAGAGTACTACTGATGAATCCAGTTGTAATCAATGATTTTGATTTTTTTTTTACCTGATTAGTGAATGTCAATGACTTGTACTCCTCCCAGGTGAGCCCGGAGCACCCACCCTTTCGATCCTTGAGCATAGTTTGGTTCTCCTTCTGTGAAAAGTGCAAGTTTTCAGGATGTTAATTCTCTTGCATGTTTTCAGGATCTCGCTACTTCTGTCGTTGGTCTACAAGCATTAGTATTGATAGTACGAGTACTATATACATACTCCCTCCGTTCCCTAATACTCCATCTGTCCTTAAATATGTCTTTTTTTAGGGATTTTAATATAAACTACATACGAATTAAAATGAGTGTATGTAGTCCATAATGAAATCTCTAAAAGGACTTATATTTAGGAACGGAGGGAGTATAAGACTTTTAGCTATTTTAAGATATTGACTACATACATATTAAAATGAGTGAACATACATACTGAAATGTGTCTACATGCATAGGAATCAAGAAAAAACTAAAAGGTCTTATATTAGGGAATGGAGGGAGAACCTCAAGGGACCGGAGAACGTCTGGGTTGTCATGGAGTGACTTGAATGCTACAGCGATTGTTCCTGATAGCGTGAAGACGCTGGAGAACAACAACATCGAGACCATATCAATAGCAAAATCCTCACTTATTAATGGCTCTTCACCCTGCAGTTCCTCGACAATTACGTCAAGGAGGTCGCCATGTTTCTTCCCTGGTGTACCTAACCTCTCTGCCAACGTATCCCGCACTGTCTTCTGCACATTTTTTCTGGCCTGCACGCGCAAGCATATCAGCTCTTAACTTTTTTTTCTTTTCGAAACGGATATTAGCTCTTAACTGAAGGCAGCATTTTAATACACGTTTCTCGGTGAAAAACTCAAAATATTTGAAGCCTGATTTTCATAACGAAGGGACACAGTGGTGTATATGACAGGCAAACTTCTATACTTGAGCCCTCTATTTTTGCGAATGATATACTCCGGTTCTTGATCATGCAAACAAACAACAAGTTAATTTGTATACCTGCATGCATCGATAAAATGTTGTCCCAGGGAAATATATCGGGAAGGAGAACAGCCCTGAGAAAAGCGCATCGAACTTGTTCCTCAGTTTTCCCGACTTGGTGGAAGAATCGAAACCAAGGCACTTCCTCGTCACCAGCTCAAAGAGAATCTGCAGACACAGTAGATATATTGCATTTGTATACCGTCACCACACCATGCAGGAAACAGCAGCGAGTAGGAGAATGGCATCGAAACCAAGCACAAGACGCTTACGTCGGGCGCATCACCGCGCACGTCCACACTCGGCTTGGTCGCCCACGCGGCAAGGCGCTCCCTCACGGCGCCCTCCATCTCTGGGAGGAGCACCTCTTTGAGATTCTGGAGGCCGAACAGCGTGAAGGCGCATCTACGGACGAACTTGTGGATTGTGCCATGGGCGGCTTCGATGCTCTTCTCACCGAATATTTTGGTCACTGCCCAGGGGTACCCGATACTGAACAAGGTCTCCTCGTGCTGAAACACAAACCGATTGACCTCCGCGTCGGTGGAAATAACCGCAGGCTGCCCAAGCAAGCTTGTCTTGAATACCGGGCCGTACCTGCGCAAACAGTAACCAGAGGTGTTTCCTCACACGCTGAGCACTACTGTGTGCTAGAATCAGATCTCGCACGTTTATTTGCAAAAGAAAAAATGACAACAAATACTAGTACTGTACAACGTCTCCATTAATTCAAGCGGTACCTTTTCATCCTTTGTTTGTAGAAGTCTGGGATGTCCAGGGAAGAGCTTGCCTTGAGGAAGTCCAAGGTCTCACCAATAATAGGGAATCCCATGGAGCCAGGAGGAAGAACACCGTTGCAAACCGGGCTAATCCATTTGTATACCGAGTGTACTAGCCATCCAATCACAAGTGTAACTCCACACAGAGCTACGTATTGAGCAACAGAAATGTCCATCTCCAAGTGCATCTAGTAAGGAAATGAGGGGTGTAGTTAGTTGTGTGCGAATTGTAGAGGTCTTTACATGCTTATATATACTACAACTGTTATGATGATTCTTAGGTGTCTTTTGACTTCTATTTCTTTCAGCTAGCTGGCATCCATATATCCATACCCAACTTGGTTAGCACGGGGCAGATAAATTAAGTGGAGTACATAGAGTAACCACACCATGTGAAAGGTGATCTACTTAATTAACTGGAGTACAGGTAAGCATATGTTAGGGATAGCCAAATCACATGATGCTGACAAATCACACCATGTGAAAGGTGATCAATTAGTATCGGCAAGCATCTCTTAGGGATAGCCAAATCATATCTTCCTGATATTAGTCTTGTATATGGTACGATTTGTATAGCTGTTACTGCCTTGATCCTAGGGATCTTGTTATTTAATTATTGTGCATGGTATGTAACCTACAAAGACTTCTACTCGGACCTTATTGGCTCTACAAAATCTACTGCTTGGCGCTTTAACATCCCGGACCTCTACCCGGACCACGCCCCTTTTTTGCAACAAGAGATATATGATGCCTTTCTTCACATGAACCCGAACCCTAGCACTGGGCCTGGCGGATTTGGTCCTTGCTTCTACAGAAAATTTTGCACTCCCTAAGGTTATTATCTTCCCCTTCTTCTCCCGGGACGAACACGAGGCAAAGTCGTTTTTCCGTGGGTCGAGGGGTTTGCGGAGTGGAACGACACTTACAGAAGCCGTGCGAGAAAGAAGAAGTGGGATGCTAACTGGCTTCAAAAGTTAGAATCAAAGAACGCGGATTGGAACGTGTTTTATTGCGGAATGGGGAGCAGCTGGACACAGTTAGCGACCAAAGGGTGTCTCAACGGCAGGAGCAAGCAGATATAGCATTGGGTAGTGTCGTACCATCTATGCCGGAAAGCAGCATGGGTTCCACGGGGGTCTCGACCGACGATGCACTGCTGGCTTGCTACCCCGTGGATGATACTAAAAAGACGAAGGGTTGTGAGGTACACATGAAACTGAAGAACATATCCATGAAGGTGGCGGACAGCTTTGCTTTACCGAATGAGCCCGATGCAACCATCCATGGCAATCCAATTCCAACTGGCTATGCTCGTGTTGGGGTGGATAAAGTTACATCGGGATATGACTCACTAGAGCTTGACTTTCCTGGAGGTCAAGGGGAGCAGACATTGGGAGAAGCCATACGTGCTCTCATTGTATGGAGAAAGGAATGCATCATCTTTCCAAACTCGGCGCCAAGGCCACCGACTCCTCCTCCAAGTCTGTCGCGTCAGCCGACTCCACCCCACCTCAAGACGGAGCACAGCGCGAGTCCGACATATCGATCTCCACCGCGCCAGCCGACTCCACTCCACCCCGAGACGGAGCTCAGTGCGAGTCCGCAATATCGATCTCTGCTGCGCCAGCGGACTCCAAAGCGGAAGAGATCACCAAATAAGAAACCTAAGCCTCCTGCCAAAAAGAAGTTGGCTGATGAGATGACCGAGGAGGAAATCAGAGCCAAAGTGGATTCTGAAGTGAAGGCACATTTTGGACCGAAACCGCCCCCGCTGCCACAGGAGAAAATACCTCTGAAAATCGTACAACGCTTTCAGCATCGGCTAGAGCGACCCCCCCGCGCCAAGGCCACTAGATGACTGTGAACACTCTATTGGCAAGTCATATCATGCAAAGAAACATCAGCAGTCAAGCCTTACAGGTAGTAATAAAAGCATGAAAATTGTTCCCCAGCTCGAAGAACAGGCAATGCAATTAATCCCCCCGCTCAAGGTGAGTACCGATAAGGCGGCAACCGACGCTCTTGCTAAAGAATTAGGTCTCAGTGTTGAGTAACTCCTAGGCATCGAGGACTGTCCCCATGGCTACAGAATTTGCAAGGGAGTATGTCCCCGGGAACCCTCTGGTCAGGCCTGAGCAGGTCCCGCTTTTATCAACACAAATATGCAAATTGCATGACTGGTACCTGAGAGAAGTAAAGATGGGGCGACAGATGCTCATGGTGAAAGTCCAGAAAGAGCAATACTTCCATGCAAATGGGATATGAATTGAGTTTTCATAAATTATTCAGTTATTCAATCAAAACACACTCGACAAAACTATCGTAAGCTGTTATTGTTTGTAAGTGATTTCTTTATGTAGTTTAAGTCTCTAGCTCAGCTCGTTCATTGCCTGTAATTATCCTCAGTATATTCTTTTGTGTACTATTATGCAGAATGAAGATTTTTAAATGCAAAAGAAATGGAGTCTATGACATTGGGTTTATTGACCCAAATACCGTTAATGAAATTATGTTAAGAAACCACACCGAAGACTCAGAGAATAACTTGCTAATGTTTTTGAAGGAACTATATACTAGATCGAAAATACTATTTCCTTACAACTTCAAGTGAGTGTTACTGTCTTGTACTATAAATTCTATTTTACTTACTCGATGTTAAGTTTAGTTGATGAGTTGTGCATGCCCGCTTATATAAATGTGTGCGCAGTTACCACTAGATCCTGTTAATCAATAGAATTGATGAGGGAACTATTGAAACACTAGACTCACTGTAACGTCCCAAGACCGATGCGCTAGATGTCTTCCAGTTATTCACCGTCGTTGCCATGTCATTCGCTTGCGTGTTGCACTTTGCCATGTCATCATGTGCATTTTCTTCTGCATGTTTTCAAAACTTGCATCCGTCCATAGTTGCCGGCTCCTCCCCGTTCCTTCTATTGTCCGTTCTGAGTCCAACTACACCCGCACGCACCCACGGCACCTTCGAAATATTATTTTATAAGTGGGATAAAAATGTTGTTGGAATCGGTTGAAAGTTGGTGTGCGGTCTTGTTATAGGGTCGGTAGACCGCGTGCCAAATTTCGTCGCATTCGGAGTCCGTTTGATAGCCCAGCCGTCAACCATAGCGGCACTGTTGCCGGTTAATTCGTCGGAAGTTTCGATCTCCGAAAACAGTCGTCGGGCCTCTCTCTCTCTCTCTTCTCTCCTGCAGCCCACGGCCTCTACACAGCCACTAAACCAGTCCACTAAGCCAGCCTAAACCCCCCTCCGACCAGTGTCGTTGGATCGTCATCAGAGGGTCTGAAACCCCTCAAAACTCCCCTAACCCTAGCATCCCTGCCTACAAAAGGACGGCCTAGCCCTCCTATTTTGGAAACCCTAGCCTTCCTCATTTTCCGCGCCAGGCAAACCCACTGCCACCACTTGTCTCCTCCTCCAGCCTCCCACCATCGCACCGGCTGCCAGGCCCATGCAAGGCCCGCCCAGCCCTGAACAGCGTTGCCGCTCGCCCGAGCTGCCCGAGCCGCCGCCCACTCCCGCAGCGAGTCGCAGCGCCCGAGCGCCCCGCTCTCTCCTCGCACCGGCGCCCGACCCCGCCGTCTTCGGGCCAAGCCCCACCGCCCGCACGAGTCCTCGTCGTGCCACGGGCGCCCGCTCGCCGCCTTAACCCAACACCGTCGGCCTCACCCTCCTCCTCTCTGCCCGTAGACCTCCGTCGTCCATGGAGCTCCGCCCGCTGCCCGTGGTCGTCGCCGCCACCGGGAACATGACTGTCCTGGCCGGATCCGACCGCCCTGACCTCCTCCTCGTCGGATCTGGAAGATCCCGGCCCTCCTCGTCGCATCTGAATCGCCACTGCCTCGCCCTGCACCGTCGGGCCGCCGCCTCGGTCTCCCCTGCCGGCGACCTGACCCGAACCGGCCCTGAATCACCGGACCGGACGGTTCAGGCGAACCGGCCCCGGTCCACCCGGTCCGCGCCGACCGCCCCACGAACCGCCGTCTAAACCACCCCGCTCCGTCCCACGGGCCCTCTGGTGAGCTCACCCCCGCTAAGTCTCGCCCGTGCACAGATTTGTTAAATTGCGCTCGCTCTATTTCCCGAAAACGACCAAGTCCCTGATTCCTATCATCATGTGTGCATGTTTGCGATGCCATAACTTTTTGCATGTTTTTCCGATTGGAGTGTATATTATGTCAAAATGATGTACTCTCTGTGCTCTATATGATGGTGGTTGTTGCATTCATGATAGGGTTCATATTCATGTCATAATCTTCATTGCAAAAGTGCATGTTGTTGTTAACTGCTAAAAATTGTTATAATTTGCCCTTTTGTTATTTTCATGTGATTTAATGCATACATCATACTAGCATCTTGTCAACATATGTTTGATGCATTTTTATGTCCTCTTGCTTGAAGTATTTATTTCATGCCATGATATGTCCTGATGTGAGTACCATGAGCTTGCTAAGTGGCCTACTCACTATTTGTTGTTTTCGGAGACTCGGTAAATTCTATGGTCTAAAACTGTTATATTATGATGCCATGTTTGCTTGATGCTACCATCCAATCTATGCATATTTTGGAGATGTTTGGTAATCGTGTTTTGAAGACCATGTTATGCTCCATCCATCCATGCCCTTGTTTGCATTTATAGCCTAATGTAGCTTGTTCTTTTAATGCTCTCAAATTGCTTAAAATATAATTGTCAGTCTGTTAATAGCATGTTCCATTTTGTAAAGTTAATTGTAATTAATCTGTGCATCTTATAAATTGTGCCCTTGGTTTAACTGGAAGTATGGCATGCCTACTACATGCTGATGACTGATACGTCCATTTTGCATCATGCTTTTATATTGATATTTATTGCATTATGGGCTGTTATTACATGAAATATCACAATACTTATGCCTATTCTCTCTTATTTTACAAGGTTTACATGAAGAGGGAGAATGCCGGCATTTCGGATTCTGGGCTGGAAAAGGAGCAATTATTAGAGACCTATTCTGCACACCTCCAAAAGTCCTTAAACTCCATGAAAGTCATTTTTTGAATTAATAAAAAATATTGGCAAAAGAATCAGCGTCAGGGGGGCCACACCCTGTCCACGAGGGTGGGCCCCCCCCCTAGGGCGCGCCCCCTGCCTCGTGGGCCCCCTGACAGCCCTCCGGTGGCCATCTTCTGCTA